GTATGGTCATTACTAATACTTGCAGGTCTAGGTGTTGGGATTGACTTTCTCAATTGTGCCAAGCTGGCACAGACAGAAGGGAGCACAGATCCACAGAGAGCTAAAACAGTGCTGTGTTAATGCCATGTAGAACTAGGCACTGCAATAAAACAAGTGATTCCCTGTGCACCAGTACAACTGGGACTCCTGTGGCAGAAGACAGGGCTGGTCTTGGCATGGAGAATGCTGCTGGCATTGTCAGACTGATTTTTCCATTTGTTTGAGATACTGCACATTATTGTAGTGTTTCTCCCCCTGACGAAGGCAGATCAGCTTGCCAAACGAACAACACTGATAATAATTATCATACTAGAAGAAACTGCACTACTTAGAAATGAAGCCTGTTCATGTACTGCTTGGCAGAAACTGAAAAGTAGCATATGACAATTATGTCAGCCAGGTAGTAAGATGGTTATGCGAGAATTGAAACTGAAATCATTCAGAAAATAAGCGTTCTGGAAAACCACAAGTTCCCAGGAGATGTGGGCATTATCAGATATGCAGTTCTATGAAGCAAAAGCCAGTGGCATTATGTGTTGCTTACAGGTGTAGATACTCTTTCAAAAACAAGGATTTGACTCTTGTTTTTTTTAGACAGGGTTTCTCTGTGTATCCCTCCTAGCTGTTCTGGAACTCACTCTGTAGTCCAGGCTGGCCTTGAACTCACAAAGATCCTCCTGCCTCTACCTCCCAAGTGCTGGATTAAAGGCGTGCACCACCACCACCTGGCAAATTTGACTTTTTTAATAATTAAAATATAGTTGACTGGAATAGCAAGCCACAACATTTTAATCAAGTGTTATTCTCCTAATGCCAAATGCCTTGTATCAGGACAGAGTCAGTTTGTTGGGCACCACAGATTGTTTCTGCATGCAAGGAAGGGATCCAAAGCCTGCTCTGTTTTTTCTTTAAGAGTACTTAGGGAAGAAAAGATCAGGGATCAGTGACTGAGATGCAGGTGTCTTTTTCCTTTACAGTGCAAAAGTCAAACGTCAGTGTTGGGGAGTCCAGCTGCATGTTGTGTGTCAGGAGTCTTTGTGTGTTGATGCTGAGAAAACCCTTTCACTGGGCATGCTGCGTAGTAGCAAAGAGCTATAGCACATGGTATGAGTTGCCTGCTATTTAATATGTAGGTGTTTTCCTAGAACACTAGCCTGCTCATTTGAGCATGTCGCAGGCACAGAAGTACCTCTTTCATCCTGGATTTGGAATGTTCTTCAACCACCTTGATGAAGAAAAGGACTAGGGAGGTAATTCCTGAAGGAGATACAATCATTAGGGAATGCTTTAAGAAGATTCATATGCCATATGTTTCCTTTTTTAAAAATTTGGGGTGTATGTGTGCATGTTCATGTGTGTTCAGGTACTCATGTGCATGTACATTTTGAGGCCAGAGGGTAAACTTGCTCAGAAATGATGACAAGGTCTCATTGGCCTGGGGATTTCCAAGTGGATGCTGAGGATGGAACTTGGGTCGTCATGCTTACAAGGCAAGAACTTTACCAGTTGAGCTAGATAGACTCTTCTCACTCGTGTTTGTAGTTTTGATGTGTGCTGAGAGCCCTTAGGGCCTGTCTAATGTTTAGAGAGATGGCTCACTGGGTAATGGCACCTACTGCCAAACATGAAGACCTGAGTTCTCGGACCCACGTGGTGGAAGGAGAGAATGTACTCCTGAAAGTTGTTCTTTCATTCACACATACATAGTCCCTCCTCCCTCACAAAATAAATAAGTAAAATTAAAATTAAAACTGTAAGAACCCTCTTTAAGTTCTGGGGAGATGGATAATTATGCTTGGTTGATGCACAAGCATGAACATTGACTTCTGATTCTAGCACCCATGTAAAAAGCTAGGCATGACTTTCCATGCCTGTACCCTGCCTGGTCTGTGGAAGTTAGAGACAGGAAGATTGGGTATTGCTGACTGCCATCCTAGCTCTAGGTTCACTGAGAGTTTCTGTCTCAAGGGAATAAAGTGCAGAATGATAAAACAGGTCACCTGGTGTCTTCCTTCGGTCTTTGTGAACACATAGCTCCACACACGTGTGCATTCACCACACCTGCATCCTCCTCCTGCAATCTTCCTCTAGTCTTTATAAACACATAGCTCCACACACATATGCAATCCGCACATTCCCATCCTTCTGCTCTCCTTAACCCTATCCTTAAAAAAAGCAAATTTATGTTATATATGAGTCTTACCTGTGTGTTAGTGTCTGTTTATGTGCATGTGTGTGCTGCTGCCTGTGGAGGCCAGAGGAGGGCATTGGATCCTCTGGAGCTGGAGTTACAGGCTATTGTGAGGGGCACCTCTTGTGGGTTATGGGAATTGAACATTGGTCCTTTGTGGTAGTATGCTGTTAACCACTGAACTAGCTATCTTTCCGGTCCCTTATCCTATCTGTGAGTGAGTGTTTGTGTTGTTTTAGCTGTTCCCACTTTGAGAAATTAAGAACCATAAAGAACAGTTGCAACATCCAGGTGTTTAGAAATTGCCCATAACTGAACTAAAACTTTAAAAACCCCTTTCATATGCTGTATTTGTTCAAAAGCAATTTCATTTTACCTTCTCCAAAGTTCATCTGAGTGTATCCAATTTCCTTGTCTATCTGTACGTTCTCTTCTTATGGTCTGTATGTGGATGATTTATTGTGTTTCTTGAATAAAAAGGGAACAGAAGCCTGGGCTTGGTGCCATATGTCTTAGTTCCATCTCTTGAGGAGGTGGAGACAGAGAAACAGTAATTCAAAGCCAGCCTCAGATATAGAGTGAGTGAGGCTGGTCAGGGTTATTGGAGACACTGTCTTAAAAAATAGGTGAGTGACACAGCTCAGGGAATCCTGCAGAGTTTGTAAGAACCAGAGGGGTGGAAGACACCAGGAGAACAAGGTCCTCTGAAACAACTAAGTAAGTGCTTCGAGAGACTGAAACTGCAAAGGCCTACACCAGCCTGCATCAAAGTTCTCTGTGTAGATGTTACAGCTGTCAGCTTGGCATTTTTAAGGAACTCCTGACTATGAGAATGAGTGGGTCTCTGACTCTTGTGCCTGTTTTTGATAGTCTTTTCCTCCTGTTGGGTTGTCATGTCCAACTCCAATATGATAGTTTTTGCTTTATCTTACTATATTTTATTTTGTTGTGCTTTGTTGTTATCTCTTAGAAGTCTGTTCTTTACTAATGAGAGGCAGAAAGGGAGTGGATCCAGAGGGGAGGGGAGGTTGGGAGGAACTGGGAGGAGTAGAGAGAGGGGAAACTATAATCAGGATATATTATGTAATAAAGGAACCTATTTTCAATAAAAGAAAAACGTAGGTTGTCAGACAGATATTATGGAATAAGAAATACTAAGTTTTGAAAAAAATGCATATTCTTTAAATTACACGGTTTAGGGCCCTTCTTTCCAGTAAAAGTTTATTCAAAAATGAGTGAGTGAATGAATGGATAGATAGATACATAAAAATAAGTGGGACATTAGTTTGCACTTTGTTTCAGATGGTCCAGAATAGTAGGACTTTGGTCTGTACACTGTGAGGCTTCTTAGGAGGGTGGCACAGGTGAAGGACATTGTGTCTTTCAGCAGAATCTTGGCAAGGCCTACAAATACTTGTGGTTGTCACATCTTAGAGGTGCTACAGGCATCTGATGGGCAGAGTCTCTGGATGCTTCTAAACACCCTCCTGTTTAGACAGACAGACTTCAAGGACAGAGGGTGCTCTGCCAAATGCCAGGAATGCTCATATAAGTACGGATGTCCTGCAGTATTCTCTACTGGCTCCATGTTTCTGTAAGGTTTGTCAGGTGGAATTTCACCTTGGGGAGGGCCAAGACCCTGGCCTGGTGAACATGGAGGGAACAATAGACTGCTTATTTGTGAAGCCTAGGCCAAGAACTGAGTGAGGTACCCACTTTGGGAGCAGAAGGGATATAAACCACACCGACATCAAGAGAAATTATGTTAATTGAGAAATGTAATTCACTTGAGCTGTACAGTCCATCTACTTTACATGTAGCATATATTTAAAAAAATGTGCAGTCATGCTTACATTAGCTTATAGCAATAGTTCATTCTCTGAAAATAGTTCTCCCAGTCAGTGGCAGTTACACCTCACCCCATTGTCCCACCCCTGCCAACTTGATGGAGGAAGGTCATTGGCTAATAAAGAAACTGCCCTGGCCCATTTTATTGGTTAGGACATAGGTAGGTGGAGTAAACAGAACAGAACGCTGGGAGGAAGAGGAAGTGAGGTCAGAGACTCCACATCTCTCCTCTCGGGCGCAGACGTCTCTGCCTCAGCAGAGACGCCATGCCCCGCTCCCGGGCTCCCCGGATGAAGCTCCGACCCAGGATGGACTAGACTAGAATCTCCCCGGTAAGCGCACCTTGGGGTGCCATACACAGATGATTAGAAATGGGTTAAATTAATATGTGAGAATTAGCCTAGAAGAGATTGGGCCAAGCAGTGTTTAAAAGAATACAGTGTCCATGTAATTATTTCGGGGCATAAGCTAGCCGGGCAGGCGGCTGGGGTGTTGGGGACGCAGCCCCGCCGACGCCCTTACTACTTCACCAACTTCTACACTTCTTTTGTTTTTCTACTTCAGGGACTGCATAGAAGGAGAATCCTGCAGTTCTATCTCTTTATATCAGACTTCATTCATTGATGTACGGGGGTTCATCCTTATTGCAGTCATTGTTTAAACCTCATTTTTCTTTATTTCACACTGCTCTTCTGCTGTTAGATATATAGGCCACATTTTTTCTGTTCATGTTTGCCTGACATTTCCATCTGCTTTTTGATGTATGTATGTGTCTGTCTGTCTGTCTGTTGGTAGGGAAATTATGGGGATAAAAGTGATAGATAAGATCATGGTCTAGCATCTGCCTGCTGGGATGGACCCAGAAGATTCCCTAACCAGAACTGATAGCAATTTTGACCTCAGGAATCTGTTTTGTTCACAGGAATCTTACTTTATCTTCTATGAGGCCCCCTGCCCCAGAGCCAGCTACAATTTAAGGAAGATAGGGGACTACTGACAAGGTGAATGGTTGTTTTAAATCATTTTTGCTCTTCTTTTATCTAGATGTAAAATATATTTCTCTTTAAATCAATTTCTAGTACTGCCCTAGTGTGTTTTCTTTCCTCCCTTCTCCTTCTATCCCTCTTCCTTTCTCTTTTCCTTCTGGTCACCCCACCCCCCACCTCCAGGTTTGTTCAGAACAGGCTTTCTCCTCTCCCCTTTCTTTTCTTGTTGCTGTGGATGGATCCCAGCACTTCTCATTTGCTAGCCACACACTTAGACCCTATTTTATTTTTTTTGTCTTGAACTATTTGTAAGCTGCTTTATCTCTTCATAAACTCAGCCTTCCAAATTTGACAGTTGACATTTATCTTCTCCTGTGGTGCCTGCTGGCTTTAGGACCCACCCCATGGACACCACAGCCACAGGTGTGTGAGATCTGTATGTGAAGTGATGTGGTGTCTTCATATAACCCATGCACATCTGCCTCTAGGATTTAATTCCTTTCTAGATGCCTTAACAATTCCTAATACTGTCTTATTGAAAAGTGCTATGCAGAGTTGTTAATGGTAGTGTTTATGGGAATATTTGAGAATGTATATGCTTAGCAGAGACTTCTGTAATAATTTTGATCTGTAGTTAACTATATCAGCATGCAGGGACCCACAAATAGGGAGGTAGTAAGTAGTAAGCAAGTCCTTTCAGGAGTTCTAAGTTGAAACTCGTTGAGGTTTGAAAACTTCATTTTATCCTTGCATTCTGCCATCTCCGAATAAGGTGGCCTAGAGTTAGAAAGCTTTCTACACATTACAGTCAAATAAAGACATTGTAGGCCTGAGTCTCAGGCTTTTTGAGCCAGGTCAAAGAAAGCCGGTGACCTGTCCCTAAGACAGTCTCCTTTCTCCTTTGTGCTCCCATAGTGTTCTTTCCCTTTGGAGAAAAGATGATTTAGAACTCATCTGGCAGAGCAAGTACTGCTAGCAGCATGGGGACTTTGGATCTGCCCAAGAAGGACAGGACTCCAGCTTGTAGAGCCATCTCAGAGGCTGTAAGGTGGTCTCTGCCAGCTGGGTCTTGGAATTCCTAGTCCTGTGTGACTGATGATGGTGGTGGTTTCAAATTCGTATATGTATCGGCTCTTCCAAGCTACTATAGGGAGCATGGAAGAGTTTAGAAACTCAAATATGAAAGATTTTCCACTTGTAATCTGGTTAAATCAGTGTGATGTGTGGTGTGTTTGGAGACAGGGGGAGACAAATGACCGTGTTCCACATATGAGTATATCTTTGCCCAAATGCTAGTCTTGTTTAGGTTTTTAAGTATGGAGCCTTGACACGGGAAGCAGTGCTTTCCAGAGCGCCTGCTCAAAGACCAGAGATGAAAAGGAGTCCTGACTTGGCCCTTAGCAGCTGTTAATGATTAACACATCCCATGCAAACCCGCATAGCTTTAAAACATCTAATTCATATTTCTCTTTTAAGTGGACCAACATCCTGAATTGGACTGTTAGGAGCTACACCACTAAAAAACACAGTAGATTGGTCATTCCAGTACCCACAGCTGACATTTTGGCAACAATATTGGAAGACTATGAATGGGTGAAATAAAACGGAGTTTCATACTGTGATTCATTTAAAATAATACCCCACCACAAATTAAGGTTAAAGAAGACATGTGGTTGTGGGTCTTCACCTTCCACCTCATTTGAAACAGGGTCTCTTTTACTGTTTCCTGTGTTGCAAGCTGCTGAGACTCAGAAAATATTGAACTAAAAATGGTTCATCTATACCTTCTTCGTTTCAGTGACTCAAGTCTACTAGGCAAAATAAGGAGCTATAATTAAGATCTAGGTCAGCCCTTCTAATTCCCTACAAAATGAGGGGTCAACTTTTTCGACCATTCTCCAAGACCTGTAAACTGGTCCGGTCTCTTCTCGGGGATGTTTTGCTCCCTGGAGGACTTTTGGTAGTATCTAGAGATAAGTTGGGGTCATGATTCAGGGAAGGGTACTTAATGAAAAAAGATCAGGAGTGTTGTAAAATGTCCTACAACACGTTCCTCATGCAAAATAATGCCCCCCAGAACAATTTCATAAGCACTGTGCCACTGTGCTTCCTTTCATATGACAAAAATCTTTCCAGACATTATATAATGCTTCCTCAGGGAGGGGGAGGATAATTACCTTTGTTTGGAACCACCTCTCTGAACTCAAAGGCTGTAAAATCAGCTGTTACTTCCCTTCTCTTGAGTTCAGGTAAGTTAAACTACATTACCAGTTGCCCTGACTTTTTGTAGGGACAGAAATCAAATTCCAGAGCTTTCTGCTTATTCTCTTTAAATGTCATTTTTCATCTCTGTGGCAAAGTAACACAGACAAAAATCCTTTACAAAAGAGAAGACTCGATGTGGGTAGGAAGATGACTCAGTCAGTAATGTGCTTGCTGCTTAAGGATGAAGACCTGAGTTTGATCCCCAACATCCATGTAGAAGCCAGACATGATGGTACATACTTGTAATCTGAGTCCTATAGGAGTTCAGGCTGGAGTACTCCTGGGTCTTGCTGGCCGGTCTAGTCAAATTGGCAGTATCCAGATTCAGTGAGCCTCAAATAGTAAGAGAGTGAGGAAGACCCTGATTGTCAACCTATATTCTCCATGTGCACGTACTCACACATACATACACACAGATACACACACACGTACACGTACACACACACACACACCAAAATGGGGGAGGGCATGGGGATTTATTTGGGCCCATAGGTTCAGAGATCTTAGTTTGTGGTTGTTTGGTCAGTTGTTTTGGGCTGAGGTGGGCAAAGCATTGGTGGAAGGGTGTGGAGGAGCAGAGCTGCTCACCACTTGGTGGCCAGGAGAGAGTGGGATCCTAAGTCCTGAGGGACAAGATGTATCCTTCAGTGACAGTCTCCTAGTGACATCCTTCCTCTTGCTAAACCATACCTCTTAAAATTTCCACCATCTTCTAATAGTACCATCAATTTTGGAATCTATCAGCAGATTACCTCATTGCTGAGGGGTTAACCCTAATGATGTAGCTATTCTGCCAAGCCTACATCTGCACAATGTTGCATACCTAAGTCTTCAGCACCTATCCAAACCGTGACAGCCACTCACAGAGTCAGTTCTTGATACAATTTCTTGATCTCTCGAGATACCCCAGGGTAGCTTTTCTGAGTAATGTTTCATTATTGTGGATGTGAATTTAAAGTTCTTAATAGCAACTGATGGCTTGTGATATATGTGCAAGGAAAAGGCATTCAAAAAGAAGGTAAGTTATATATTCTTCAGGGTGTAACAATATGTTGTGTGGTGATTTCTTCTGAGATAAACCTTTCGTCTTGGTTGGAAGCGCCTCAAGATACAGGATATTCTCAGAGGAAGTGAAACACTCCATCTTGCTGGGAACCTCTTTAAGACCATAAAATAAACAACTCACAGGCTTTAGCAACACCGACTCCCCCCAAGCCTATGTAAGCAGTAAGGGACACTGAAAGTCACTTTCAGATAAGCTGAGCTGCCTAGACGAGTCTCAGAGCAGGTGAACCCCCTGGAATAGAGACCAGCCAAGCTGCCTGGAAGAGACAACTTTTTTTTAAACTTACTTTTTATTGCTCTATAAATAATACCATTCAAAATTTCCACTTCCTCCCCTCCTTCCACTTCCCCATTCCCCTTCCTCCCTCCCTCCTTATAAGAGGGCAGGGTGCCCTGCCCTAAGGGAAGACCAAGGCCCTTCCCCCTCCATTCAGGCCAAGAAAGGTGTGCATCCAAATAGACTAAGGACCCAAAAAGCCAGTACATGCAGTACAGACAAATCCCAGTGCCATTATCATTGGCTTCTCAGTCTGCCCCAATTGTGAGCCACATTCAGAGGGTCCAGTTTGATCCCATGCTCACTCAGTCCCAGTCCAGATGGCTTTGGTGAGCTCCCATTCGATCAGGAACACTATTTCAGTGTGTGGACACACCCCTCCTGGTCCTGACTTCCTTGCTCATATTCTCCCTCCTTCTGCTCTTCAACTGGACCTTGGGAGCTCAGTCCAGTGCTCCCATGTGGGTCTCTGTCTTGGAAGAGACAGACAACCTTTAACCTGCTCAGCTGCCTGTAGTTTGTGTGTGCTGTGTGCTCCAGGTTTCCAGCTTTCACGAGCTGTCACTTATACTGGGGTGGGCTTTTAGTGATGCAGCTGTGCTTAGTCATTTCTGTTCCTGTAAGTAGACCTTCACCCATATTCTTCTAAGTAATCCCAATAAAACTCATTGGTTCACTAGTATGGAATTTGGTAGTATCCTTCCTTACTTTTTTTTTTGTTGTTGGTTCCCTATCTGGATTTCATGTCTCCCCAGGACTGGTGTCAACACAGCACCACCAAAGTAGGCTAGGTAATGTTCAGGGTAGCTCAGATTGTCTTGTGATCATACAAAGCAAAATGCACTTTAGAGAATGTCCCTCAATAATAGAGTAACTGTGTTGCATGTAAAAGACCTTGGCTGGGTTTCTGGTGGGGGGATACACTGAGGGGAGTGGGGTGGGAGAATTGTTTATTTAACTTTGTTGTGTTTGAGATATGCTGGTCTCAGACTAGTTCTGTGGCAAAAACCAATCTTGAAGACCTGAAGAATTAGGCTCTATAGTTCCCTGTAATGGTAATAGGATCTGAAATACCTAGTTAGAAGTAATTGGTCTGAAATGATAAATTTTTGACATTGTCTCTTAAATATTCATAAAGGAAAAAGTGTAAATGAGTATAATGAGGAAGGAAGAGAACAGAGACTGAAGTGAGTAGAAGACTTGAGGTTAGTCGTGTTAGAAATAAGAGTTAACAGTGGTAGCAAAGGAGATTAGTGTGATGGTGCACACTAATTACAGCACAGAAAGCAGAAGCAGGAGGACAGAGAAATCTAAGCTAGACTGAGCTATATAGTGAAACTCATCTTAAACAAACAAAATGCACACATACTTTAAATATATTCACATACAGTTTTTTTTTCTTAATATG